ACCATAAGGTCCCTTTCACCGCGTCAGGACACATATATTGAATTAATATTGAATAGAAATTTTTATTGTGTAAAATTTAAATTCCTAATACCATTAATAATAATAATAAATTTCAATGCAAAATGAATCACGATATTTTTTTAAAATGAAAATTATTCAAAAAATATTTTGATCAGGTCAAAACAGGTCAATACACGAACTGCAATTGATTTAATTGTCTTTGATGTAATTTTCCATCGACATTGTTTATGACCTTCGGCTTATTAAGAGAACCTTTGTACTTAAATGTAAATATACAGTTTGGGATGTTCATGTATAAAAATAATTACGATTTCAAAATTTAAAATACCTACTTCGAAATTATAATTTTGAATTAAATTATTTTTATATAAATTACTTGAGGTTTTTAACAGGTAAAAAAAAATTTGCATTTTTAATTTGCCAAAATATCGTACACTGATAAAAAAATTTATTTGATTCAAATACTCGATTACTTGACTATTATAAAATAAATATTTATTTGTATCAAATAATTATTATTTGACACAATTAAATGGTATTTGTTTCAAATAAAAAAATTATTGGTTCAAATACAATTTATTTAATTTAAATAAAAAATTTTTGCTTCAAGTAAATATTTATTTGATAATAGTCAAGTAATCGAGTATTTGAATCAAATAATTTTTTTTCAGTGTATGACAAATTATTAAACAAATCATAAAAAAACTTATACTATATAATAATAAAAAATATGACAAAAAATCTAAACAGGTGAAAACATGAATTGCAACTGATTGAATTGGATTGAGATTTTTAATCTTAGTGCAAACTGTAAACGCTAAAAATTGTAATTTTTTTTATGAAATTTGGTAATCAGGGGCTTTTAGATTCGCTGATTACGAATCTGAAGTCAGATTTTCAAAATTCAAAATTACGGATCCAAGATGGTGTACAAAATTTTTTTTTTTAATAATATTGATAGTTTTTTATGAAATTTAGTACACTGACAAAAAGAATTACTTGAATTAAATAAAATTTACTAGATCTAAGTTTTTTTTATTTTATCGTATCAAATAAATAGTAATTTGTATCAAATACAAATTACTTAAATCAAATAAATGGAATAATTCAAGCTAATAAATATTGCTTTAAATCAATTATGAAAATTAATTTATTCAATGCTGCAAGTTTTTTAATTCAAATAAATATTTATTTGCATGAATAAAATATTTTTTTTATAAATAACTAAAAATTTTCTTGAAGCAAATATTCAATTATTCAACATGAGTAATTGTTTTAATTGAAACTAAAATCTCTTTAATTGCAGCAAATAGTACTTTTTTCGATCTAAATACACAATATATTTGCATCAAAACAAAAAAATGTTTAATTATTTTAATTAAGAAAAATAAATTTTTAATGGTAATTTAAAATAATATTAGTTACAAGTAAATAAATTTGTCATTGGTACCGTACGGCTTTAAATAAAATGCTTATTCTTAAATTTTTTTTCAAAAGATTTTAATAAAATTGGTTTTTGAATGTAAAATGATTTATTTGAACCAAATAAAATATATTTGAATTTTAAATAAACGTAGGGTCATTTGGGGTAAATGTAAACGGATTTGCTTAGTTTCGACAATAATGTAAGTTTTTTATTTTAAAAAGCAATACTTCCGGTTTTCTACTGCATGAACTTGTTACTTCACTTCCCTAGAAACATTTTATGAGGTACAAAAAAATATTGATCAACTTGAATCGCTTAAAACTGACTGTTTACATTTACCCCGAGATTTTGAAATTTTCCCAAAATTCGGGGTAAATGTAAACACCCCTGTAGTTTAAAGAGGTTTAAGAAAAAAGTTATCCCAAGTATACTACTGTGTAAAGGGATGTAAAAACTGAAAAAAAATTCTTGGTAAATGTAAAATAATTGAACCAATTGATTGATATGCAGCATATAAAATAAGCAATCATTACCATAACAAAACTAGTAATGTAAAAACTTGAATAACTTCAATAAATTTTAATAGATTTTCATTCAACTTGGTGAAAATAAGTTTTTAAGGTTGCTGAATAAGATTCTAAAATCGAATTTTTAAATTTCAAAAAGGCGGATCCAAAATGTCGGACAAACATAAAAATATTGTTAAAAATTGATCAAATTTGCTTGAATCTCGCTACTCGGGGATTTTTGAGGTCACTGAATACGAATTTGAAGACAAATTTAAAATTTTCAAAATGGCGGATCCAATATGGCGGATGAACCTAAAAATATTTTTAAAAATAAATCAATCATCCAATCAATCACTCAATCAATCCACCAATCAATCACTCAATCAACCAATCTATAAATCAATCATCTAAGCAACCAATCTATCCACCAATCAATCAATCACTTAATCAACCAATCATCCACTCATTCCACCAATTAATCAATCAATCAGTCAATCAATCAAGCAATCCACCAATCAACCACTCAATCAACCAATCTATAAATCAATTATCCAATCAACCAATCAATCCACCAATTACTCAATCAACCAATCCATAAATCAATCGTCAAATCAATCAACCAATCAATCCATCAATCAATCAACCAATCAATCACTCACTCTTATTCTAGGATTCCTACGTACCTGAGTTTTATTCACCAATCGTGAAGAATCGCTTTCCTATATTTTAAACACGTAAATGCACTATGCAATACTATGCAGGTCTATACCTTCAACTGACTAACACGAAGGAGATGTAAAAGAAGATCCAATTTCGTTTTTTATGTAATTTTACAGGGCCAAAATAATGTAATTGTGAAATAGAAGCAAATTTATTCAATTATTTTCTTTTAAAATGCAGCAGAAATTCTGTTTACATTTACCCCGAGTTTTCGAATTCTCGGGGTAAATGTAAACACTTAATTATCTATTAACTGAATTGACGAAATTAAAAAATCAAAGTCAGCTTTTGTTAAGGGATTCATAAGGAATAATTAGAAATTTTAGTTTGAATTTTTAGTTCATTTTTATTCAAATGCGAGACAAAATACTAAAACAGTAAAACTTTGATTTTCAATCTTTCATGCATTAAGCGACAAATTGGAGTATGGCTTTGACAATTGTCGAAAAAAAAAATTGGCAATACTCAGAACCTGTTGCAGGTGAGCTGAGGATAAAATATTGGGGTCGAACTTAATTTTAAATCTGTAAATTAAGCTGCAATATCTGCTGTTTACATTTACCCCTTGTTTACATTTTCCCCAAATGACCCTATTACCCGAAATTTTAATTCAAAATCAATTAAAAATCCAATAATTATCCAAAATTTTCAATTTAAAATTTAATTATTCACCAAGTTTTCAATTTAAAATGAAATAAAATTCAATTATTTTCTAAAATTTCTATTCAAAATTAATTATCCAAATTTTCAATCAAAAATGAACTTAAATTAAATTATTATCCAAAATTTCAATTAAAATTCAATTATTTCCCAAAATTTTCAATTCAAAATGAACTGAAATTCAATTATTTTCCAAATTTAAAATCAAATAAAATTTAATTCTTCTCAAAAATTTGAATTCAAAATTAATTGAATTTTCAATAATTTGAGTTTAAAAGCATCTAAAATTTAATTATTTCTAAAATTTTCCATCCAAAATTTTTTTTTTTTGAAATTTAATAATTTCAATTATAACTCTAAGGAAATTCAATTATTTTTAACTATTTTAATAATATTCTTTGAAATTTCAACAATCTGAAACCATTTTTTAATTAAAAATGATTTTCAAATTAATGTATTTTGTCCGCATTTTCTAATAAATTTTTAGTGAAATCATCTAAAATTTTAATTAAAAATCACTTAAAGTTTCAATTAATTTCAAAAATCTCAATTTTAAATCTTTAAAAATTCAATTAAATTTAAAAAATGTTTTCCAAAAATTGTTTGATAAATTATTTTTAGTTCTGTAAAATTTAAGAATTGTTTGAAAATTAACAATATTTGTTGAAATTTAATTATTTCTTGAAAAAGATTATGTTTAAAAAAAAATTTTTATTTAAAAATCTGTAAAATATTTTTGTTAAAATAAAAAACAAATCTACTTTTTTTTGGAATATAAATCGACTAAAACGACTTTTTGTGTCATTAAGTTGATTCGAGGCCTGTGTTTTTATAATTAATATTTAATAGATTTTCGTTGGCCTCTGGTACCTTAAAAATTAATTTTTAAAAATAAATTTTTTTCAAATTACTATCTTGTACGCAATTTCCTGGTGCATCTTTTTTCTCATCATAAATTTTTTGTATTTGTATACAATTTTTGAATCAATATACAACTTTAAAAAAAAAAAAAATTTCGTTGGTAAACGTTGTGTACTTCAGCTTCGTGAATTGAATTTTCGAATTTGGAATTTTAAAGAAACTTATTCCGAAATTTGGAAACACAATTGCACAGAAAAAATATGGTGTTATTTTTGTTGCGGGTAATTTTCTCCAATGCTAAAACCCATAAGATTTAACCCAGATTTAGGGTGAAATTTGTTGCGTGTTATGTTAACACCAATTCTAGTGTTAAAATAACACTTTGTTTTTCCTGTGTAATATTATCTTTATTTTATATAATGAAATTAAATTTTCTCCTTTTGGGTCATCAAATAGTAATTTAAAAAAAAAAAAAAAAAAATTGGAAAGCTTTCATTATTCATAAAATTTCGATATACAGTCACATTGTCCATTTTACCCCCTTTCGATAGTAGTTTAACCCCTCTCTTCTCTCCCACATTTTCAAATACATTGAAAAATAAGAGTTGAAAAACTAATTTAATAATTTATAATACATCAATCATATTTGAGAGTTTTCCAATTAATTGCGAATTTAAGTTAAATTTGGAACAGCAAAAATCGATTTCTCCTTTCTATGCATACATGTATATTATGTATATACATTTGTATGTGTATTGAGAAATTGATCATGACTGTTCTTGTATCAAAAGCAAATAACTTACCCTGCAAAGAACATCAATAGAAACCAGGAACCTGGAACTGCTACTATCAATATAGCATCTTCAGCAAGACGATTCCCGGACAAACGACAGGGAATGCAGGCCAGTATCAACAAGTTGCTGATAAGAAATATAAATTTTGCTGGCTCATGACTCTATAAACAAAGAAAAAATTTAAAACAATATTTATTTATTTTTTTTTTTAATATAAATAATATATATCTAATTCTCCAAAATATAGAAGGAATAAAAAATTAAAAAAACTTGTATAAAGTAAAGACGCATTAAAATAAACTTTAAAATTATGTAATTTGTTAGAATTTTCAATTGACAGAATTTCATACTGAAAAAAGGATTACGTTTTGACAATAAACTGTTTCATTGGTATTTAAGCAATCAACATTTTTCTGTTGTGTCAACAAAATTTTTGTTATACCAAACAAAACTTTATGCTAAGACAACAAAAATTCATTTTTTTAAATTTTTGTTGTGTCAACCAAAATTTGATTGAGAAATTCAAAATTTTGTTGAGGCAATAAAAAATTTTTGATTTCTTAGGGACGCATGATTATGTTCTAAAAATCATTATGTAGTTAGAATTTTCATTTTATGGAATTTCATTTGTCATAATTATTATTTTTGAGCCTAATTTTTATTTGTTCGAATTAGTAGGGGAGGATGGAGTAAGGATAGTTAGGTAAGACATTTTTGGATCTAGTATAGCTAAAATTCAACAGGCATCGGAAAAAGAATAGTACCGTTCGAAAGCCTGTTTATTTAGCTACAATTTTTTAATACATTATTTTACTGTGGATTGTAATGCCTTCGAGATATTAGCGGAAAATTTAAAAAAAAAAATTTTACTATCCTCGCCTCACTAGTGGGACAAGGATAGTTATCAAAATTCTTTTTACGAAAAATAATCAAAAACAGACATTAAATTTGGGTTTTTTTTAATTTCATTGGATAAAAGCACCTCAAAACACTTTAAAGCAATACCAAAAAAATTTTTTGGACAGAAATAAATATTTAAAACAGTTAATATCTGAAACAGTGTTTTAAACAGAACTGAGACATTTTAGAAAAAACAGGATTTTCACAAATAAACACGTATCACGGTGAGCTTGGATAAAGTTCAACCCAAAAGTTAATGAACATCGCCATTTTCTTTTGGATATTCTTTGGGGAGTTCTTCTGGTTATTTTAAGGCCAGGTCCAAGTGAGGCAGCGCCATCTACATTGAAACTAAAATTTTGGAAAATTTTCAACAGCCTTTTCTTGAAAACAAGAAGGTAAAATGCTTTTTCCTTTATGGATAATTGATTATTGGCAAGATATATACCAGCTAAACCTTTTTTTGAGTTAAAATAATAAAAAAAATTTCATGTCAATAAATTAAATATGAGCATTTTTTTCACAAAAACTGTAACAGTACTTTCTCAGAAATTACAATCAAAAATGCAATTTCCATTTGGAAAATTAATAAACGCTAAAAAATACACGACCTAAGATTTACCAATCACGAAAATAACAAAAAAAAAAGTATTTTAACATAACATATTTTACTCATTATGACAGCCGTTTGGCAGGTTATATATGTCACCAGACGTTTCGCGATTTTGCCGAAAGGAGGAGATTGGCGCTGTTGCTAACCACCTGAAATACATAATCTACCAAAGGGCTGTCACAATCAGTATAAAGCAGTATCAATATGTTAAATATTTAATAAAATTTTTTTTTGTTATTTTCGTGATTGGTAAATCTTAGGTCGTGTATTTTTTAGCGTTTATTAATTTTTCAAATGGAAATTGCATTTTTGATTGTAATTTCTGAGAAAGTACTGTTACAGTTTTTGTGAAAAAAGTGCTCATATTTAATTTATTGACATGAAATTTTTTTCATTATTTTAACTCAAAAAAAGTTTTAGCTGGTGAATATCCTGCCAATAATCAATTATCCATAAAGGAAAAAGCATTTTACCTTCTTGTTTTCAAGAAAAGGCTGTTGAAAATTTTCCAAAATTTTAGTATCAGTGTAGATGGCGCTGCCTCACTTGGACCTGGCCTTAAGACCAAAATGAAAAAAATCTATGAAAGGAAATTAAAATTATCTTGATTTTTAACTTTTTTAATAGTGATTTTAAATGATTTATCAAAAAAAAAAAACTTTATTTAAATTTTTTTCTTAATGCAAAAACATGTATTTTGATATTAATAAAGAATTTCTATAAGAATTAGTCGATTAAAATATTTTAAAATATTATTTTTTTTTTAAATTGATGAAAAACAAATGAAAATTCATCTGAAAGAAAATTCATTGCAATGAAATTCTACCCAATAAAAATTTTTTAAAATGCCTATTATATTAAATGAAAATTCGAAAAAATAAAAATTCAGCTCAAAAATAATTATGACAAATGAAATTGTATAAATTGAAAATTCTAACTAATGATGTTTAGAACATAATCATGCGTCCTAAATTTTACTAGTTTGAAGTAAATTTTTTTGAATATTAAGAAAATTAGTGGATCAAATACGGACATGTAAATATTTTTCTTGAATCGATGATTATATTTTTTTTTTTAATGTTTGTGCCAGTTTTGACCTAATTTGAAAAATTATTTTTTTTAGTTGAATCACTGCAAAAATTTTGCCCCATATATAACTGATTTTAAAATATATGTATCGTTCAAATTTTTTTAAAAAATTTAACATATAGAAGGCAGTGCATGAAAATAAAAATAAAAAAATAATAATTTTCAATTATACTTTAAAAAATAAATAATAAGATTCGAAAGTCACTTGGCTCCCTTTCCTAAATAACTGTGTGTTGATAGCAGTTTTAGTTAAATGGAGATTTCAGTAGAGTAAACAGATTGTCGTCAGACGTCTAGATTTCGTGATTATTATCAGAGGATAGAAATAAATTACGAGTGAAAATCCTCTAAATTGAAGTGAATTCTTTTAGAATCATATTCAAAATTAATAATTATTTTTAATTTTAAAATATTTATTATAAATTTTTAAATAAATATTCTAAATTAAAATGGAATTATTAAAATTTTTCACACATAATATTATTTTACAACTGAGAAAAAAGTTTGATTTATTTACATATTTATATTATTTTATTTATTTATATATATGTAATTAATCAATAATTGCACACTATATATTAAAGTATTTTATTTGTTTTTCATATAAATAAAATAATTTATTTCGATCAAAATTTATAATCAGTTTTAAAATAACATAAAATAAAAAATTTAAATTACATAAAATTAATTGAATTTCCTTGAAATCTTTCCGATATAAATATTTGCTAATAAAATTATATAATTCAATATTGAATTAATTATTCATTAAAATATTATTAACAATAAATATACTATGAGATATACCTAATTTTTCTTAAATCTGAAATGTTTGTTAATTAGAATAATTTAAGTGATTTTCTCGATCATAACATTTGCATTAGAAATTTATGTTTTTCTTTTTTTTTTAAAGTAAAAATCTTAAAACAAATAAGATGAATTAAAAAATATTTATTATACTTTCATCTAGACAAAAAGAAAATAAATATTAATAAAAAAAAAAACAAAAAAAAATTGCGTTATTAAATAATACTGGCTGCTATATAGACTATATAAAGCTATTTTAAAGATAGTAAGATGTTAAAAAAATAAATGAAAATATTATCCGTAATAAATCTTGTAAAATAATTATCAATAATTAATTAAGTGAAAAATGAGTAAAAGTATATAATATTGTGAAATTTATACATATATACATTTTAAATATTCATTATAAATTTATGTTTATAGATTTCCTTAAATATATAAAATATTCTCACGTAAGATAAGGAGAAAAATTTGCAATATTGAAATAGTAAATTGTGAAAACAGAAAAAAAAGTTACTGTAGGTATCACTGAATAAAGTATAATAAATTTTAATACCAAAAAAAAATATTTTCCATTTATTTTTATAATAAAAATTAAAAATTCGTCTCCAAATTACTTTAAGGGGTTTTGTAACTTTTTTGGGTCCAAAAAAACGAATTTTTTTTTTCTTTCATTTTTTGATAGCAAAATATGTCAAGAATATGTGCTTAAAATATTAGATTGTTATTTGCTCAAAAACAAAAGTTATTTAACAAAATACGTATTATATATATGGGTCCTAGTACGTCACTCAGAGACCCATCTTTGTCGAAAAATGGATTTGATGAAAAAATTCGTAAGTATACTTAAAATTTAGCTTATTATGTCTACTTTCAAGTGCATATGGTCACCCTTTGAAATTCAAGATGGCGGAGCCAATATGGCGGTTAATATAAAAAAAAATTTTTAAAAGTACCCAAATGGGCTGGAAAATTTTTATTCGGGAGTTTTTAGGGTCACTAAATACGAATTTCACATCAAATTTTCAAAGTTCAAAATGGCGGATCCAATATGGCGGCAAATAAAAAAAAATTTTCAAAAAATGAGCGAATTGGCTTGAAACTTGTTACTCGGGGTTTTTCGGGGTCACTGAAGCAGCTTCCGAACTTCTCTATGAACCAGGAATAGCAGATTAATGCAGCTGTAAGTGAATAGTTTTTATTGTTATAAAAAAGTTTGAATTTTTGAAATCTGATATCATGTTCGATATCAGTGACCCCAAAAACCCCCGGGTAGTAAGTTTCAAGTAAATTCGTTTAAATTTAATTTTTTCGTCCGCCATATTGGATCCGCCATTTTGAATTTTTGAAATCTGATATCGTATTCGTAATCAGCGACCCCGAGAACCCTCAAGTAACGAATTTCAAGCTGCTTTGGTTACTTTTGCTAGAAAAATTTTAACCTTCTAACATCAAAACGCTATTTTTAAAAATGGCTGCAAGCATAACTCGAAAACCGTTTGACCGATTTCAAAAATTCTTGTTGCACTCGATTCTTTGGAAGTTTGTGGAGGTACTGAACCTTTGATATACTAATAATATTTATTATTACAGTTTTTGTGAATTATTTAATCTAAAAAAAATGTTGTTTTTTCAGATTTTTGAATTCAAAAGCTTGCCACTTTTTTCATTTATGATATTTTTGAGTAACTCGAGGTTCAGTACCTGCGGAAAGTCATCTATTTTAAAATCATATTTGGTTTTTTGATTTTAGATGATTCTGCGATGAGCTACTGTTGCAGCCATTACTGAAAGTTTTTTTTACCAGTGCACAAAACGCCCTCTGTAGGGAGAAGATATTTTTATCTTTTAAGATCACAAAATTTTTTTTCAACAGTTTATTACATACCCAATAACATGTAAACACTTTTTATGAATTATATTTTAAAACTTATAAGCAAAAATTTTTTTAAAAACCTTCATTTTTAGGCCTAAAAAAGTTACAAAACCCCTTAACGACAAGGAAAATACAAAACAAAAAAATTGATCAGTATATTCTGTAAAAAAAAAAAAAAATCCATAGAAAAAATTTTTAAGAAACGTTCCGAAAGTTCATATATCTTTAGTGTATATTAATAAAATTTATACCCACAATTGTTTCTATATTTATAAACAAAAAATAATTCAATAAATTTATAAGAAAAACTAAACTTTTCTCTCAGAAATATATATAATATAGGTGTGAAATACAAATACCAGTGTATATAGACTTTGTGTGTGTGCAAAAATAAAAAGAGTAGTGAATAAAGTATATATTGGAGAAAACGAAAAGCGATTTAAAAACATCTCAAGCGTAGGTGTGGATTGTATACTAGCTGTTTTAAGAAAGAAGGAAGTCCAACGTTGACTATTTCACCACCCAACTGAACCAGAATATAGCCCAAAACGCCAACGACTGTAATACATTCGGCAATAGTACGTCCCACGTCCGTTATTTCCTCTGGCCACTTGAGAAGTTGAGCATCAATTTCCGCTGGTCGTAAATAAACGGCCAGAGACAACGATGCCAAGTGAAAGATCAGGATAATCAGACGTTTTAGAAACTGCAACTTAGAGATGAAAGAGTTCTGTTAAATTTCTTTCACAAAGTATTATACATAAAATATATATAAACACTTGTGTTTTGTCTAAAACAAAAAAAAAATCATTCCTAAAAAAAGATATAAAAATATATAAATATTCCTAACAAACTTCGATTCACACGTTCATAATATACAAAAAATTTTTTTTTTTTACTTAACCATAGAAAAAAAATTAGAATAAATTACCGACCGATGATAATGTAAATTTCTGTAACGGCAATGTACCAGCAATCGATAATACACGTGTATCAACAGTCGGCATTACAGATTTCTACATAAAGATTAAGATCGTGTAGATTTTCAAATTTTAAAGCTATACATCTGTTACTATTCTCCTAAAATACTGAATAAATTTGAACTAGAATTTTGTGTAAAAATCTAAAGTGTTATAATAAAGAGCAGTCAGGTGCGAAAATCACATGCTATTAATACCGTCACAAAACCGTAGGTAAAATAAACAGACAGATAAGTGACCGACTGTCAACAATGTAGATTTCTACTACGCCGATGTAAAATTAACTTTACGGTAGTCATTTGGACTTAAAAATCACATGCTGTTAATACAGTTACTAAACCATCAGGAAAATAGACCGCAGCTAATTTAACCCGTGTCGATAATGTAGATTTCTTCTGTTACGAGGCAAAATTAACTTTGATGCAGCCATGTGTTCTGACAGTGCTGTTAAGCAGCTACAGGACCGTCGGCAAAATAGACATCAGATAAGTTACCGACGGTCGATAATGTAGATTTCTACTGTTTCGATATCAAATTAACTTTACGGCAGTCATGGGACCTAAGCACATAGGTTACCAACTGTCGATAATGTAGATTTCTACTGTTTCGATATAAAATTGAACCGCCGGATCGTAGAAGGGCATACGCGCAATGTATTTTAAATGGAGCGTGTGCCCTTCTACGATCCAGAGGTTCAATTAACTTTACGGCAGTCATGCTACCTAAAAGTCAGACGCTATTAATAAAGTCACGATATCTACTGTTCCAATGTACCGGCAGTCGATAATACAGATTTCCTTCTTGACAAACGCAATTAATTAAGAATCATCAGTATTTATCAAAAACATTTGTTATTGTCACATAAAATTATATACACATTAAAAAAAATTGTATTGTAAAAATTTAGATTACCAGAATATTTGAAAAAAAAATTCTAAAAAATGAATTTTCCAAAAGAAAACGTATTATTGAATTGGAAAAAAACATATTTATCTTGGAAAATCAACATTTTGTATCACTGAACGTTAAATGCGACTTATCGCAAATGTCGGTTGTCATTAAATTTAGCTATAAAACACACACACACACACACAAAGTCGACTGGAAAACATCTTAAAAGAGTTTATGTTTGCAAGTTCCACAGCATATTATAAATAATAATCAGGGGAACAAAGTGCCGTGATAAAAAAAATATATATATGTATTCTTACCCGAGCGAAAGTCTTCCACTTTTCCTCGAGTAATTTCTGTATGATGCCACCATCAAGCATAGCCAAATGTTCTTCCTTTGTTCCATTGAGAATGATGAACAAGGCAGAATTCCAATCTAAAAAAGAAAAATACCTATCTCTGAATAGTGCTGTCCATTTTAAGATAAACGTTAAGACGACTATGACAATGTCTCAGCTAATATAGTATCAAAAGTTTTAGTCCCGAGGGGAATATATATATATCTATACACACATTGTAGTGAAGCACAAGGAAGTCTTCAAAAAAAAAAAATTTTAACAAGTGGCTTCTTTTTTTATTGTTCTTTCCAAAAGAAAAGAACTCTCAGAGATTATAGTAGGTATAGTAGCGTACCTAGGAAAAATGAAGAAATGGAACAATAACAAAACAAGAAAGATTATTCAAAAATAATAAAAATAACGAGACCATTTGTTTATGAAAAATATACAAAATATTATTGAAAAAAAATGTTTAGTCAGAGTAACCAAAATTTGGTTGGGCCAACAAAACAATTTGGTGGTATTTAAGCAACAAAACTATTTGTTTGAGTCAACCAAAAAAATTTTGAGTGTTTTTTGTTGGCATAAGAATATTTGGTTAGGTCAACCAAATTTTTTTTTCAGGTCAACAAAAATGTTTAGTTGATCAAACCAACAGTTTTTTTTTTGTAAAATTAAAGATTTAATTCTACCTCATTTCTATTCATTTTATCTTTTTTATTTATTTCATCATTTATTTATTATCAATTTAACGTTTAATTTATATTTATCCAATTGAAATATTTGTGGACTTTAAAAAATCTCATCTCCTGGGATCGAACCTCTGATTTTAAACTGCGAGTCGGAAGCTCTGACCATTGGACTACCACCATCTTTGTGAGAGATTTAAACTAATTGTTCTCTTAAGGTACGAGCTGAGAGCGAATTAAATTATTTGGTTGTCGTAACCAAATTTTGGTTAGGACAACAAACGATTATTTGGTTTTTTATACCAAACTATTTTGTTGTGTTAACCAAATTATTTTCTTGTCGTAACCAAATTTTGGTTGGAATTTAAAAATGTTGAACCAAATAATTTTGTTGGCTTAACCAAATGTTTGGTTGCGATAACTCTACGACTTTGTTTCAGCCAACTAAAATTTCGTTACAAGAACCAAAATTGCCTAACCAAACCAATTTGTTGCAAACACAAAATCTTTTTTTTCCGTGCATTCTAATTTAAATGCACTAAAAAAAATGTCTTTGAAACAAAGAAATCGTTATTTTAAAATCATTTTTTGAATAAAAGATAAAATTTGTTTGAATTAAAAAATAATTTCTTTGCTTTTCACAGTGGCCTGAAACCCGAATCTAGCTGGACAAAACTGTTTTCTCCAAATTGCTTCGATGAATTCTTATGAAACTTGTTACTCGGGAGTTTATTAGGTCGCTGATTACGAATCTGAGGTCAGTTTTTAAAAATTCAAAATGGCGGATCCAATATGGCGGACGGAAGGTTTAAAAAGTTAACGGATTTTAATGAAACAAGGTACTTGGAGGTTTTTTGGGTCGCTGATTACGAATCCGAGATCAGTTTTTAAAAATCCAAAATGGCGGACAAAAAGTTTTAAAAATTAACGGATTTTTATGAAACACGGTACTTGAAGGTTTTTTGGGTCGCTGATTACGAATCTGAGGTCAGTTTTTAAAAATTCAAAATGGCGGATCTAATTTGTCTGACAGTAATATAAAAAAATTATTGAATTAAAGCCGTGTAAATAAAAAAAAAAAACAAATGAATGACTACTTATTTGTCACAAACTACCTCTCATAGCATATTATTCAAAAAATAATTTTTAATTTAGAGAAATACGTATAATTTTGAAAAATTTACAAAAAATAGTTAAAAATTAAAATAAAATGATTTTAATAATAGTTATGGATAATTAATAAATTTTAACTTTTAAAAAATATAAAGAGTTAAAATATATATCATTAAAGCTTTTATTTGTTAAATTTTTTTGAAGTCAGTTAATGAAAATTTTATGTAATTTTCGAAAACTTTAAATAGCGGACAGTTGTTATTAATTTTTATAAGACTTTAATTTTAAAAATCTTTAGTGTCATTAATTACTATTCCCAAATAAAATTTTAACAATTTCCAAAGATTAGATTTAATATAGCAAAATTGTTTCGAACAATTATTTTATAAGTGAACATTAATTTTTTAAATTTACTGTCCGACATATTGGATCCGCCATTTTGAATTTTTGAAAACTGATCTCAGATTCGTAATCAGCGACCCAATAAACTTTCAAATACCGTGTTTTATTAAAGTCCGTTTACTTTTTAAACTTTCTGTCCGCCATATTGGATCCGCCATTTTGAATTTTTGAAAACTGACTTTAGATTTGTAATTATTGACTCTAATAACTCTTAAACAGTAATCAATGTTAGTCTTTAAATTTATTATGGAATGTTTGTACACATTTTTGCATTTTTTAAGCGTTTTCCTCCATTTTGTGTCACTCAATTGAAGTTTCAGAACAAAGTTGCAAAAAGTAGCAGCCAAACTTGCTTTTATATGATTCTGTAACTATTTTCCTTCATTTTTATCAAGGGTAGAAAGCGGAGAACCATGGAGCAAAAAACTTTTTGAAATATTACGATAAAATAATTTATCGCTTGCATCGATCTTATCTTAATTCTTGGAAGTATTAAAAATAATTATTAAAACCAATTAAATCTGCTTAAAATAGAAATTCGTTAAGTATATACTTCTAGTAACAACCTCCATTTTACACAAATGCCAAAAAAAATTCCAGACAAAAGTAATGGACCCTTTAACAGAAGTCAATTTTTCTGTGCTTTATACAGTTTTTCCAGTTGTGCTGACATGACAACTTTGACGTTCTGTTACAACGAAAGTATGCAGTTTAGTGATCTGTCCTTTTATAACTAAATGCATCAAGTACCCAACTAACTAATCTTCAAGTAAAAATAGCATTTTTTAAACTTTTTTTTTTGAGGTTTTGTCCAGCTAAATCCGGGTTTCAGACCACTGTGCTTTTATACAAAAAAGAAATTTTGAAATGTTTTGAATTAAAGAAATTTTTTTCTTTTAATGATATTTTTAGCATGAATTTAATTGAGATACTGAGACTAGTTATAAATAATTGAAATGATTTGTATATGAAAAATAGGAGTCAATGAACTTTGCCGAAATAAAGGAAATCGATATAACCACAAATCATATATATATATATATATATATATATATATATACGAATACATTGAAAGAGAACATCGGAAAATGTTATATATTTAATTAGTAGAACTGAATTTTAATATTTATGAAAAAAGTTTTTAGAATGATAATTAAAATTTTTTTATATCATTTTTTTTATTTAAAGAATTTCTTTCTGATTTAATATGAAATTATTTTAGACATTATTTTTTTTTGCTAAACCGTTCAATCTTCACTATATTTTCTCAAGGATAAAGAAAATTATTGTTTAATTAATCTTTATTTAGATTAATTGAATCGATTCGTTTTTTAACAAATTTTTTATTACAAAATTTAAAATTAAACCATTGGTTTCTTTTATAAGTAAAACATCGACATAAAATATATGTACTAACAAAAAAAAATTATTTGTAGAACACTCTTGAAATACAATTTATATTACTAAAAGAACTCTAAATATAAAGTGTAATTAATTCTTTTAGAAAATCACAATTATTATTTAAAAAAAAAAATATCTAACCTTAGCCTGCAACATCTGCTGAAAACACATTTGATTTGAAAAATTTTGGAACACTACCGACACCGCATGCGTTTAAATAAAAAAAAATACATTTTTTAGAAGATTTAAGTCATCGAGATTTTAAGAATTTTAAACACTCCCGGAACAAAAAATTTACTGAAATGACAAAAAAAATGTTAATGACTCTAAAATATTACTTCGTTCACAACTTAAGATTCAAGCACTCCCGAAGCTATTCAACAACATAAAAATAAAAAAATAATAAAAAAATATTAAAAAAAAGAAAATAAAGGAAATATTTTTTTTTTAACCCTTTGAGGACAAATGTTACTTTCAGGCAACATAAACATATTTTTGTTATGTTAATCATAAGTTCCTTAATTTTTAAAACTATATATTAGACAAATGTTTTTCATTTAGTATAATAAATGTCCAATTCTAAACTTTGATTTTGAAACAAAAAACCTTAATTAGTTTTGCTGAAAAACTTGTATAAAAGAAAGTTGAAAAAAATTCGATTCTTGAAATAAAATAAAATAAAATAACATAAAAAATGTATGTTATTAAATGTTGTTTATTGCAATATCCTGACTTTAAAAACTTGTTTAAAAATTTAAAAAATCATGATTTTTAAAGAAATAATTTGGTCCTCAAAGGTTTAAAAAAGGCATATTTTGTTTTTCAAATTACAATATTCACGTTCACATAGATCATGTCTAAACAGGTCAATACACGAATTGCAACTGATTTAATTATTGTATTTTCCATACACATTGTTTATGACCTTCGGCTTATTAAGAGAACCTTTATACCTCAGTTATAAAAATAATTACAATTCCAAAATTTAAAATACCTACATCTTGAAAATTTAATTTTTAAATTAAATTACATTTATATAAATTACTTGAGGTTTTTAATAGGTGAAACAATTTTTGCATTTTTAATTTTTTGAAATCGCATGACAAAATATTAAACAAATCATAAAAAAACTTACTCTCTAAATCTGAATTAGTAAAAATGTTTACTAATTTGAATTAGTGACTCACTTTTTGCTTTAGAATTAGTTAAATTTTACTAATTGTTAGTAAAAGTTACTAATAATTAGTAAAATTTTACTAATTCAGAAGCAAAAAGTGAGTCACTAATTGAAATTAGTAAACATTTTTACTAATTCAGATTTAGAGAGTATACTATATAATAATAAAAAAAAATTCAAAACTCTTATTAAAAGTTTTTTTGAACCCAAAAACATTTCAACGCACTATCTGAAGCTATATTGTTTCTAAAATAACAAAATTTTCACTCACTATAAAACACGTCTAAACAGGTTAAAACATGAAATGAAACTGATT